TGAAACGGAACCCCTAGATACAGAACCCGGCCCTTGTTGCTGCCAACTTAGATGGGCAGAAGGGGTACATATATAATATAGACTTATAGAGAGAGAACTTCTAAAAATGTTAAAATGTATTACTGGCACATGAAACCTTAAATTACAGTGAATAAATGAAGACTTGGCACCCCACTTCTGAAAGGTTGCTGACCCCTGGACTAGGCATTCTGGTGCCTTTAAGAACCCTGCCCTGGGAAGCTGATGTTGAGAGGTACTGTCTGTGGGAGATGAAATAAAAAAGCCCCTCTGCTCCCCCTACCCTATTTTTTGCCAAACACTGGTGTCTCAGTCCACTGGGGTAACTATTACCCCTTCTTCCCCTGACTGTGCTGAGGTTTTACCCTCTGGCAATGCCTCACACCTGGATTTAACTCCATCTCCCTCCCCCCCCCATCCCTGATTTTGCCTTCAGCCCCTATCCTAACCCTGCTTCCAGCTACTTAACCCCCCGACCAGTCAATTTTCACCCCCTGCTCAGACCCTGGCCACCCCCCTCCTCTGATTTGCCCCCTTTGCCTCTTTTTAACCCCTGTAAAAAGCAGTCAGCAGAATCTTAAGGCTAATCAGTGCAAGTGAAGGGCAGCGGCTTCAGGAGGTGTCACTGAGCATGCGTACAGGAAGCACTTTCTACAAGGGTCAGGATGCGGTGCGCGCGGAATTTAACTTGTGTTTCCTTCTAGGAGCGGGCGGCCTTGCAGATGGCGGCGGAGCTGCGGACGCCTGAGCAAGGACCGAAGCCCTGGGAAAGATCGGTCCTGGACTCGGGTTACGGCTCCAGCATCCACCGGCGTTCGCAGCGCCCGCTGGACTCGCCTGAGGCGGGCGAGGTTGTGGTGGAAAAGTTCTCGCTCTCCGGAGCCGAGTGCGAGTCGGGCCCCAATAGCCCCGAAGCGGCCGCCTCGGACTCGGGCCGCAGTGGACACGTAGTTACGTCCGGCTGCAGCCTCCTGACGAAGGATGAGGAGCCTGGAGTGCGGGTGGCTTCACCGGAACAGCGTAGCGCAGCTGGTGCCTGTCCGTCGGTGACACGTTGCGGTGAGAGTAGGGGGAAGGCAGCAGCTCCTTGGGGGTGACTTTCCAGCCGCCCACCCATCCTGGTGCTGGCGGGTCTGTGGGTGGGTGTCCCGCGTGGGGAGGGCACGGGGATTCGTACAGGGTCCCCCCTCGAGGATCATCCCAGGTTAAATGGCTGGGAGTTCAATAGCTTTAAAAAAACCTAGTTCTAGGAGGAGCTGCCCCTTGAAATGCCTTTAAATCTTTTCTACTTCAAACAAGGGTTTTTTTCTGCTCCTGTCCTGGCTTGGAGCCTACTGCACTATGGGTACAGCTACACAGCAACACCCCCCAGCATCTACTCTTAGAGCTCCAGTCAACGGACTCAGGCTTGCTCAGCTCACACTGTGGGGCTAAAAATAGCAGTATAGATATTGGGCTAGATTCCTGGCTCCCAGACCCTCCCCACTTGCTGGGTTTCAGCCTGAGCCCAAATGTCTACATTGCTATTTTTAGCCCCACAGGACAAGCCCCAGTTAGTTGACCCAGGCTCTTAGACTTGCTGCCATGGGTCTTTTTTTTTTTTTTTCTGTGTAGATGTACCCATGCAGACCTTCTGACTCAGGTCCATGGCTTGACCTATATGCACACTGTAAAATGACAGGGCCAGAACCCAAGTCATAGTGGGACTTGGGCTAAGACCCACCCCCTGGATGGGTCCTAGGACTCAGGTCCTGAGTGCTTGCTGAGGTGAGTCAGACAGGTGTGTGTGTAGATGGTAGGGAGGTTTGGGTTCAAACCTGAGTTTGTGCCCTGGTTTACAATGGTGTGTGTGTGTGTGTGTGTGTGTGTGTGTGTATATATATGTATGTATGTGTATATATATATGTATATGTCTCATCAGCAAGGGAGAAACAGACTGTCAAAGGAGATATGTACAAAGTTATGGCAAATGCACAAAAAATCTGAAAAAATAGGGTTTTTTCTTCTAATCTCTGAATTCTAGTAGTTCTAATAGTAGACAAAATAATTCAGAGATGTATGAAACTCCAGTCCTGTAAATTGTTCCATGCAAGCATGGAACTTGGACAACTAGTAACTAATAGCTGAATCTACTTTTTAACTTTTTAAATGACTAGATTTCAACTAATGGTGTCTCTTTTTAAACAACAAAAAGACTGGTTTAGTGCTTCAATCTGGGAATTTATCCTTACAAGGCCGATGTTCTGTTCCTGGCTCTGCCACTGACTGAGGCCTTGTCTATACTGCAAATGCTTTGCCAATATAACTGTTCTGGTATAGACTGGCAGAGCCTGCTAGTGTAGATGCAGGATATGCCAATAGAAGATTTTTTGCCACTACCATAGTGGCACCTCCATGCATGATGTTAGCTCTCTTCTGTCCGCACAGCTGGGTCTATGATGTGGGTTTTGCTGGCATACTTGTCTGCTGGGGAGGAGGATTCACATCCCTGACCTCATAGCTAGGCTGACAAAATCTAGTAGTGTAGGCCTGGCCTCACGGTAGTGATCCTGGGAAAGTGACTACGGGTATGTCAAGGATATGTCTACACTGCAATCAGGAGATGTGATTGCAGCACTTCTTTCTCAAGCTAGCTTTGATCTAGCTACCATGCTATAGCATGGCAGCTCAAAGCCAAGCGGTCTCTGATCTGGACGAGTGATGCAGAAGAAGTTTCTTATAGAGGGAGCAGCTTGTTCCCATTCTGCACATTGCAGCATGATATCATCTACCAAGCAGATGGTTGGTAATATTGTGCAGATTGGTCTTCTGCTGATGTGTTGTGGCGAGGCACCTCCCATATATTTAAATCGCCATATCTCTGTTTACCCATATTTGCTTCACATGGATGTTGTAGGCCTTAAAGAGATAGTGTCTACCTGAAACTTAGTCAGTTTCAAAAAAAGACTTTAAAAGTAGTTTCTGGTCCCACACTTAATCTTGAGTCCCCATGATAGTGTCTCTAACTTTACAGTTATAGTTTTCTGTTTTTAAAATGTTTTCTCTTGCTCTCTGAAAGTAACACAGACACTGACTGACAATGAAGAGTGCTATCACATGAATAAAATACATTGAAAAATAGAAGTAACTAAATTCTTCTTTAATTTTTCACTTATAATCATCATTGGGATTACTTGTTACAATGTTCAGACAACAATGTCACTGTTTAAAGTAGATGTAGTCGTTTTAACTCCTTAAGAGCTTTGAGAACCTCCAATGGAAAGTAATGTAGAAAGGCAAGGCAATCATAAGCATTATATTCAGTATAATAAGACTGGGTGCTAACTCTTCTGATTTCAGGTCAGTGCTCCAACATCGTCTGGAAAGTAATAACTGGTGTACTGGTTGTGGTTATTTTGGTGTTGCTTCTGACAGGTAAGGGCTTTAGAATAAGGGGAGAACATATCCTTGGACATTTTCATCTTCTGGCTTGTTTATAGAACTGTGGGAGTGAAACTAATGCAAATGCTCACAATATGCAGAAGGCTTAGATTCTCCCTTGCATCCTTGGTCAAAACTCCTGATGATACCTTAAGTAATATATAGCACTTGCATGACACTTCATGGTTATCGGATGCACTTTTAAAATCTGAACACCTATCTCATGTTAAGTATCGGTATTTCCATTTTATTCAAGCTTCCCAGCCTTATGTTTGTTCTACCCCATACTCAATTCACTAAAATAAGTTGATTTTTTTGAGATCGCTACATTCTTACTGTAGCAGTTCCCTGTTCATTTGTATTGTGTGCTCACTCTCAGGAGAGTTCAAATTTGGCATTTTCTTTTCTTTTGTATACTTCTTTCTAAACAGCAGCAGAATTCAAATTGGTTTATCAGTTCATGATCCAAAATATTTAAAGTATTCTAGATCCAATTTGAATTACTATATTTTCTTTCTCTGAAATTCCCCTCATTAGTTTAGTTGGATCCAGTAGTCGTTTTGTCCCCTCTAACTGTTTTATAGTGTTCTGTGTGCAGCTAACCAGAAAGGATTGAAAACTACAAAGTTACAAGGTCTGGTAACTGATATAAAATCCTGAATCAATCACAGAATATCAGGTTGGAAGGGACCTCAGGAGGTCATCTAGTCCAACCCCCTGCTCAAAGCAGGACCAATCCCCAACTAAATCCCCAAATGGCCCCCTCAAGGATTGAACTCACAACCCTGGGTTTAACAGGCCAATGCTCAAACCACTAAGCTATCCCTCCCCCCAAAAATGCCTAGAAAACAATGATAGTCTAAGAAACCAATCAAGTCACAGTCCTGAGGTCTGATACCTTAGAAAACCAGCAGGGCTAGAGAGTTTTGCTATGTATTTTAGGGTCGTGCCCATTATTAGCAAATGCATAAGTGGTACAATAAAGATGGGAAAAGGTTCAAAATATAAAGGAGAGAGATAAAACAGAAATGTATTAATAAAAAAAAGTCAAAAGGGCTAGGTAGACATTACACATTTTAGCCATTCGATAGCTTCAGGGTCATCAGTATGGAGTATGAAAAGTCCTCCTGATAGACCAGCAGAAGATGAGCAGCCATTCAGTAGATGTATGGCGTCTCCATGTGCACCTCAGCTTCACAGATGGCTGTTCCTGAGTGCCCAGATGTGATCATTTCCTGCACTTCACCCTGCATCTGAACTGGTTGAGCTTGCCTCAGAGATAGCATGGCAGCTCAAAGCCAGGCAGTTTCTGATCTGGATGTGTGATGTGGAAGGAGTTTCTTACAAAGGGAGCAACTTAGGCCTTGGTTACACTTGCAGATGTACAGCGCTGTGAGTTAAACCTGACTTCATACAGCTGAGTAGAGAAAGCGCTGCAGTCTGTCCACACTGACAGCTGCCCAGCGCACTGTCGTGGCCACATTTGCAGCGTTTGCTGCGCCATTGGGAGCGGTGCATTATGGGCAGCTATCCCACAGAGCACCTCTTCCCATTCTGGCGCTGTGGGTTGCAGGAAGGGGGCGTGGGTGCAGAGCATTCTGGATCCTGTCCCAACGCCCCGTGATGCATCACTTCGCATCCCAGAAATCCCTTTGGTTCCGTCCACCATCTTTCAACGGTTTCTGTGCAGCGCGATCTGTCTGCGGGAAATGGAGCCTGAACTGCTGAGGCGTATGCTGACTTATCTCGCCAGCACGTCACGTTTGGCTGTCGAACTATTCCTTAAGATCCAAAGTGAGAGTGAGGAGTCCGATGATGCTATCAAGCCGCGTAACGCGTACGACACGAAATTGCTTGTGGCATTCATGGACATGCTCAGCACCGTGGAATGCCGCTTTTGTGCTTGGGAAACAAGCACCGAGTGGTGGGATCACATCGTCATGGAAGTCTGGGATGATGAGCAGTGGCTGCAGAACTTTCAGATGAGAAAAGCCACTTTCATGGGACTGTGTGAGGAGCTCACCCCCACCCTGCGGTGCAAGGACACGAGATTGAGAGCTGCCCTGCCAGTGGAGAAGTGGGTGGCTATTGCAATCTGGAAGCTAGCAACTCCAGACCGCTACCGGTCAGTTGCAAACCAGTTTGGAGTGGGAAAGTCGACTGTTGGAATCGTGTTGATGCAAGTTTGCAGAGCCATTAATCGCATCCTACTCAGAAGAACCGTGACTCTGGGTAATGTGCAGGACATAGTGCATGGCTTTGCACAAATGGGGTTCCCTAACTGTGGAGGGGTGATAGATGGGACACACATTCCTATTCTGGCACCACTCCACCTAGGATCCGAGTACGTTAATCGGAAGGGATATTTCTCTATGGTTCTTCAGGCGCTTGTGGATCACCGTGGGAGTTTCATTGACATTAACACAGGCTGGCCCGGAAAGGTGCATAACGCACGCATCTTTCGGAACACTTGGCTGTTCAGGAAGATGCAGGCCGGGACTTTTTTCCCAGAGCGGAAGATCGCGGTAGGGGAAGTTGAAATGCCCATTGTGATCCTTGGAGACCCCGCTTACCAGTTAATGTCGTGGCTCATGAAACCCTACACAGGGAGCCTTGACAGCAGCAAGGAACGGTTCAACTACAGGCTGAGCTGGTGCCGAATGACTGTGGAGTGTACCTTTCGCCATTTAAAGGCCCCCGGCGATCTCTGTATGGGAAGCTGGACTTGGCCGAAAACAGCATCCCCGCGGTTATATCCGCATGCTGTGCCCTCCATAATATTTGTGAAGGGAAGGGTGAAAGCTTCACTCAGCCATGGACCTCCGAGGTTCAACACCTGGAGGCTGAATTTGCACAGCCAGAGAGCAGGGCTATCACAGGGGCCCAGCCCGGGGCTGCAAGGATTAGGGGTGCCTTGAGGGAGCAATTTGAGGTTGAAAACCAGCAGTGATATCGGGTGCCCGGTAGGGGAGTGAAGTGCAGTAGTTCCAATCTTTAAGAATCAGTGTTTGCTAAGCAGACTTGCAGTGCCTGTTTATTTCCTGGGCTAAGGAGTCTTTTACTTTATGCAATAATAAAGAATGTTTTCAAAGCCAAAAAATCCATTTATTGAAAAGAAACAAGGGGGTGGAGTGGGGAACAGTACAATCACAGATTCGCATATGTCCTGTCTGATGTGCTGTGCAGTGAGTGCTGCACTTCAGGATAGCTATACTGCATGGTGATGGGGGTTGAGTGCAGAGGGTAAGGGTCGTGGTTTTCAGGGCTGGGTGGTGAAGATACTGGTGTTCGAGGCAGCTGGTGGCGTGAAGAATACGGAAGTTGGGGAAAGTGGGTTGGAGGTGACAGTGGGTCACAATGGAAAGAGTTTTGGGACAAGGGCTGTAGGCCGGGGAGGGGGAGGCGGGGCGTTTGCGTTACTGCTCCTTCTGCATGGCTACGAGCTCCTGGATAGCGTCTGTTTGGCGCTCCAGGATGCTTATGAGCCTATCAGTGCTTTGCTGCCAGTGCTCCGTGCTTTGCCGCTGGCGCGCTGCGTTTTCCTGGCGGATCCTGCTTTTTCTCTCCCTCCAGTTCTGTGCTTTCTCATTCTCTTTAATACATTGCCGCATCACTTCTTGCAGCATCTCTTCTTTGCTTTTTTGTGGTCTCTTCCTGAGTCTTTGCAGTCTCTGAGCAGGTGATAAGAGGGACGGCTGAGGTCTCAAGTTTGATGCAGCTGTATAGGCAAAATGCAACATTTAACAGAGGCAGCATTGTTTATACCAGACAGAGTAATGATTTCCTCCGCACTTAAGGAGTAGAAAACACACAGGGTCTACACAATTGCATAATTTTCCCGTCTGAAACAGAGCACACACATCCCACGGGAGCCTCAAAATGGTGAGTAAGGGGACTGATTGTTTCAGGGCTGCACTGTCCTC